TTTTAATATTACGTGCTTTGTTTATACGTGTATCTAATCTGGAGACACTGACACGGATTTAGATATACAACAAAGATGAGCACTTCATATAATAAATTATAGATAAAATTACACCAGGAAGAATAGAAAAAGGAAAAACATAAAGAAAAATATGAAGACATCGATTCCATGGAAGCTGTAGCATTAGTGTAAAATTACATATCCCAGATATGTTTTCTCTTTGTATTCATGATAAATATCGTCTCTGTCTGTTGTCTCTTATTTATGGTCACATTTTATGCATGGAAAAAATGGGAAAGACATAAGAGGAAATACGGGAGCTGGGTTGGTTCACATGCAAGGAAGAATTTTGTGGTATATGCTTTTTCCAGAGGCCTCTTGCTCAGAACGTCCATGTGTGTCTTATCTAACACTAAAGGAACATTCTTCTATAAGTAACATCTTATGTTTATTGAGGAATATTACTTCTTTCGCGATCAGTTTCCTGTATGTCGCAGTCGTTATGGGGAACCTTAAAAATTAGTATAATTGGAGCCGCATATTTATATGACTATAGATTTCAGTAATTTCTTTTTTCCCTTTACAATGGTACATGTAGCTATATATACGTACGTATACATATATATTTATGTCTGAGTCGTAATATTATGTGGATAAGTGGCATAACGATAATATACTGGTTCTACGTAGTTTCCATGCAGCGTACGTGTGTGTACTGGAATGGATATTTCAAATTGTACTAACCCACATATTAGAATATAACCCTCATTTCGTAAACCTGGTGAGTTTTACAGCAGAATTCTTTTCAAAGGTTTGTGCGTATCCTTTGTGGTTTGTTTTTTTTTCTTCATTTTCCGATACATTTTGCATTACTGGACATGTCCTTCATTGATGTGTACTGAATGCTGCGTGGAACTATACTGCCCGACTAAAAGGCGAAGTAGGAAGCCATGTTTTCTCCAGATACAGAATTGGCTACAACTGGACACAGACTAGGAAAGATATTTCTGCTAAGTATTGAATTAATAATTAACTCCAGAAGTTTATAATAATTTATTTTGATAGCAAAGAACGCATGCATGTGAATCTGATATCCTCTTAGAGGATATACCCTTCTGGATATTGAGTTCTAAGATCAGCTGAGGACCTTATGATGGTGTCAATGGAACTGTTAAATGTATCACTACATCAGTTTAATATTAAATAAAGAAGAAATCCATTTTGAATAAAGAGATTGGTTAAATAAGGGGAATTATACGGGTGAATAGTAGGAATTAAGCATTCTTCGCCGTACAATAGGATGTGGGGAAGACAGGATATTGCAGTAATTATATTTAAGAATTACTCTTGTTCGATTACGAGAGCTGTTCAGTACTAGGAATATGTTAACGCGCTTTGATTAATTCGGTCAGAAAGATTACCTATTATGAGCAGAATTTAACAAAAAAAGAGACAGAAAAATACAGATACTACGTCCGTATGTAAAGCAAAGGAGGGTACAGCGCAATGAAAATATGACAATGGGGACGAAACGGAAATCAATAGATGATAACTGAAATAATGATGCAGCAGCTGATTGTGATTACCCCCAGATATATATAATACGAGAGGGGATACAAATAGTGAAAGAATTGGGGGGGGATTCTTATAATATATTACAGCAAATACATCCTAAGGATTAAGGGAAAACTGCAGTATTTAATCATGGAAAAAAACTGAGAATGACAGATATCTGTGAGTACAACCGAGTTCTCCATTCTGCATATCATGAATTCTAGTAAACTAAGAAGGAACATACGACATTCCTCATTTGCAGGTGTTAAGCGAATTTACATTATGAGTATGAACTGGGGATGCATAAATTTCGAGAGGCATAGACAGGATGTTAGCCGGCAAGATACGGATAATTTACATGGCTCTATGCATTGATACCATTTATTGACAACAGCCTATGTGTTGTTCACTCTTTTACACCTTACGATGAAACATATATATATCCATGGATATACATACATATATGTATATTTTTTCCTTCTTATATGTGGGGTTAGTTCATCAGTCATAGAAATAAGAAGTGTTAACCTGATTAATTATGATGCCCCTATGGCGTCATACAGGAGGAGGATACGAGAAGATGGAACCGAAGAGGCACAGAATAGTACCAGTGCTACACATTTCTACGCGGAAAGAGGATCTAGTTACCAGTATATGCAGATTCGCATTAGAAGATTGTTCATTTGGCATAAAAATGTGCCCGCTAAAATTACATGATTGTTCATGACGTGTTTTATCTATGAATATATAAACAGAGCAATATATTGTTGAATCTGAAGTGGTATAATGTTAGTTCTAATTTCCTAATGAGCTTTAATTGTATGCTGCATACAATTGAAAGGGCTGCTATAGCGCTTAAATAAGTTCATGCCTTTCTGTTGAAACTCCGATGAGTGCAATGGAATACAGATATGCACATCGGATGAGTACCGCGTAAAATGGTGAGCCGCTGTGCTTATATGGTTTCCCTTATAGTTACATTACTTTTGTGAATGCGTCCTTATGCCCCATGCTCCTCGTGAGTAGCTTCTCTGATGTTTTGATATCTTCACCAGTATCCCCCCGCATGTTGCACTCTTCCTGTGTATGTTTTTTACCCGTTTCTGCACTCTTATAAGTATGTTAATTCGTATCCCAGGTTGCTTGCATATCATTCGTCTTGCCGCATAGTGGTTGTACATGCATTTTTCTGCTGTATCATTCCCAGGAAGGTGTCATTTCAGGTTCTTGCATTTTTATGAGAGTATCTCCTCATGGTGCCTTTTGTTATATATATGCGTTCTGATGTGGCGTAGTTCAGCAATCGTCTTCTCATGTCGCCTGATTTTCTCAACGTTGTGTTATGTGGCCTAATCTTTGCGGACCTCGTTTCATATGACGTAATTTTTCGCGCATGCGGTTCCATGTGGCGTAATTTTGCGGTGGTTTCACGTAGGGAAATTTCGCGAACGTCCTTTCATGTGGCGTTTTCTCATGAATGTCTTTTCATGTGTTGTAATCTTCGAGGACGCACCCTTTCGGTGGCCTAATTTGTCCAGGACGCGGATCCAGGTGACTTAACCTTATGAAAGTCTTCCCATGTGGATTAATCTTTTGGGGCTTCCTATCATGTGTTATATCTGTTGCGCGGGGGCTGTTTCGTTCCGCTCCATTATATATATTTCTCTATTTAATTTTCTCATGAGGATACCCTTTTATGTGTCATTCCTTTGACGAAAGTCGCTTGGAGGGGTCGTCTATGATGACATCTTTCGTTGCATCCTTATGAAGATGCCACGCTTCCCCTGGCATTTTTATAAAGATGCCTTTATCTGCTGCATTTTTATCAAAATTCTTCTCGTGTAATCTTGTCATGATGATGCTGCCCTCTCCTGCCTTTCTATGAAGCACTCCTTCTTGGTCATTGCGATCTCTTCGTGTTACGGCACTGTGATGTGTACTACTGTGCCGCGGCACCCTGATGCTTATTCTGTATGTGGCATCTTTTTAATGATGCCTATATCTGGTATTTATCTATTATAATGCTCCCATGGTTTACATTCCCGCATGGCTACATCCTTCCTGTCGCGTTAATATGAAGATGTCTGTTTGTGTGCCATTTTTCTCAGGATGATATTCCCTGTTGCATTTTTATGAAGTCCTTCTCTTTTATGTTGCGTCATTGTGAGGTATCTTCCTTGTGGGGCATCTTTCTTCCTATGATTTATTTTACCGCGTTCTACTTTTAATATATCCGTTCGCTCGCCATTTTTATAGAGATTGTCTCCTTTGTCGTGTAACTATTAAGATTCTTGTGTGTGCTCCATTTCCTTCCTGACGATAGTCCTTTTCTGGGGTGTTGTGATGAAGTTTCCCGGGCCATGTCATTATGAGAATTTTTGCTGTTGTTGCATTGTTATGAAGATCCTTTCTACCGCGTTATATGGATGATATTCTTCCGATGGAATCTCCTCGCGAGGCATTCTTCTTATGAAAATATTTCTCTTCCGCGGCATTCCTTATGATCCTATTTTGTGGCTGCAGCTTGAATATATTGTTTTCTGTCACTTCCTGTATATGGATTCTGCTTTCTCCCGAGGAACCGTGAAGATGTCTTCTTATGTGTTATGTTTTCTACGACGATGTACCTTTTCGGCGGCATTCTGAAGATCTCCTCTCGTGTCTGATCTCCTTTAGGAATATGCTCGCTCTCCATGGCATGGTTAAGATGCTGTTGCGTTGTTTATTTTTTTTATGAAGATTATTTTTTCTCCTGGTATTTCCCCGACGTTTCTCGGTTTCGTCCTTTTGAAGATGTTCTTTTGCAACGATTATTATGAAAATGTTTCTTCACGTTACATCATTGTGAAGATGCCTCCCTGGCTGCATCCTTTCGGATATGTTGTATTGTATGTCATGGTTTTTTGTTAGAGATTTTTCTTCCTTAACATTCTGATGGACCTATTTTTCTCTCTATGTGGAGCCATTATGAAGATATTCTCTTTCTTTGGCTATTTATGAAGAAGGCCACCTATGTGAATTGTAAATATCATAAGCATAACGATGTGGTAACATTACAAAACAGGAATAATATACCCATTTGTAAAAGGCCACTTTCTTCCCTGGGGTATTATTGCTTCTGAAGTGATGATTTTCATTGAACTGTATTAGGTGAATAGTGGTTTTACCTGGATAACACTGTTATTGGGAAAACACACCTGTGTCTAGGGTATTGATATCCAGGAATTTTATTGGATTGAAAATATTTATGTGTGTATAGTATTCATATCCGTTGAATACTAAGATGCTTATCGTTTTGTTATATCAGCACCACAATCCCGCTTGGTATACTCTTGTTCGCAGAATAGTGGTGTGCGCTTTTAACGCCTGTGCAGCGGCCGGATGCTCGTTTTTTAGTGTCATGTGAAGTGCATGAATATTCTACAAGTGTCGCCTACACCGTACCAATGTGTCTGAATTCGCAATAGTCCGCAATCCAGAGATTCTCATGGTACCGTTATATGAAGATTCTAATAGATCAACTATCTGCCTGACGTCTAGTTTTATCCTACTAAGCTGCACGCTTATATGTTGGGAGCCTTGTCATAATCAATATCATTTTATTCAAAATAGTATGTTATGGAGGAGTACATGTGTGTCAGGAGTACCGTCATGTTAAGAGTATTGTTGTGTGGATTATACGTTTATTTAAATAGCACACTCTCTTACTGAGTTTTCATGATTTGCAATAACAATATGCGGAGAGGGCAGACGTATGTATAATACTCCTATGTGGAAACAGCCGACGTGCCTGGTACACCGCTATCTTGATGATGGCGAGGTCAAAACAGTCGGATTAAGTGATGTATTCTGGTAATAGGATATATGGGGCGTAAACTTCTACCATTTGCGGAGACCTATTGTATGAGCAGTGCAAAAACTCCAGTAATTCCCTTATTTGAAGAATACTTTTGCGTTGAGTGTGTTAATGTGTGAAGTACACTGTTAATTTAAGAAGACTACTGTTATGTGAGAAGCGGTGTACCTCGAGAAATAAGGTTATCCTTGGATGATCAGGATGTTAAGTGTTCCGATGTAAGTTTAATGACTTGATTACATGAAGTGCAGGATTGCACAAATTCTAGGAGTCATCTGTAATACTATTACTTAAAGAGTATTGTTACTCCAGGAGTATGATGATGTCACTTGGAGTTTCTTCTTCTGAGGATTAATCTTCCAGAAATGGTATTGTGCTACGGGTATCATTCTATCTACCATTATTTGCCTTCATTATTAGGACTATATCTGTTGTACTATCCTTTAGAGGGTAGGCGTCTATAAGTAATATTGTTATGTTAACAATACCCTTGTTTGGATTATACCTCCCTTCGAAGTGCACAGTTGTATGGGAAGTATTAATAACTCGAAATATCATTCTGTGAAGAGTACAGAGGTATATTCCCTACTCATATCTACGGAGTCTTAAGAGGCCTGGTACGTTACTATTCGAAGAGTGACAAACTTACGACCTTACTGTGAAGTGATGTATGTTAGAGTCGATAAGATATATGTCAGAATGTTTTATCATATGCAGAGAGTTACACCATAGAGGGCATGAACGTTTCCGTAATAGTTTTATAGCAAGCGTACTATGGTGTAAACCTCATAGACCTGTTCAGTGCTCCAATCTTTGAAGAGTATTACGATTATGTATAGAAGCGTATGCCTAGATGTGGATGACTTTATGTAAAGTTCCATTATGTAAAGGATTTCGATTTAAGTTTAATGGGCCCATTACATGAAGTACGGGATTGTACAATCCCTAAGAAATGTTAGCAGGACCATTGTTTCGATAGTACTATGCTGCCAGGAGTACTATCATATGAACCGTACTTGTGTGTGTGAAATCTTCATAGTCCACGAGTGTGATTATTTGGAGAGCACTATTCCGTCGAGTGTATGAATATTACAACCGAACTATTGCGTGCACAGTACAGATGTTTATGGATTTGCAATGATGATGATTACGGAAGTTGCCGTAATAGCGTTATATGAAGGTACTAATGATTGACCTGTGGTAATATCTGTTCTGGACTGTTTTCTGAATAGAATACCTCGGTTTGAAGTATCCATAATCTGGAGCAGTAATTTGTGAGTATACTCATATGTGTGTAGTACTGTCGTTTAGCAGGTAGAGTTGTGCGCACATTATGGATGTCCCAGAAGCACAATTATTTGAAGGGTCTGAAAGTCGAGGGGAAGGATTTCGGCTTGTACTATACGAAGAACACAACTGTCTCGAACTTATATCAGTCCTTGAAGTATTATTATATTAGGAATGGTGCAATTCATGAAACTCCATGACTTTAAGAGCACCGCTATAACAAGTGTACCGATGTCATTAAATTATTCCTGTTTCAGAATAAATTCTTAGCTTCGAGTGTTGCTATTCCCAGAGTACTATCATGTGAATACTCTGGATGTCTGCCGAGTATTCATATGGGAGGAATAACAATGTGGGGATGAATACTAATGTGGCCGCCGTACTATGATTTAAATAGTATTGAAATACAGGGGATACCATTATTTCAACCGTGTATGT